AAAAAAAAAAAAAAAAAAAAAAAAAAAAAAAAGACAAGAAAAGAATAGTCTATAGGATACAGAACTTGTGAGATAAACCAGAACAGATTGTGAAAATAGGCACTACTTAAAGTTTCATTATTAACAATAAGCTGTGATTGCTAATCATTTTATTGAACTGACTCTCACTTTTTCTTTGTTTGAACAATTGCTTGTGTTTTCATGCATAATTACATACATTGGGAAAGCAATAGAGAACAGCTGACCACTGGAATGGTCTTCTGATAAACTAGCTACAGCCCCTTTCCATTCAATGGGTGAACATGCACGTACACACATCCACATCCACACGCACAGGCGCACGCGCACACATACAGAACAAAACTTTGTTTTCCTCACTGGTAAAGATGGTACTCTGCCTTAAAATTCTAAATAAAACACAGTAAATCTGTCATCTGTTGGCAAGAGTTTAATGTGCATTAAAATAATAATTGAAATAAATCCTGCAAATTAAATTAATGTGCCTTTAATATTGTCAAACTTACCCATAAATAACAATGTAAAAGGAACGGTAGAAGTAAACAAGACAATGAGTGCAAGAGGACTTACGTTAAAAGCTTTCAGTCGTTCAGCTTCTACCCCATCTGATTCATTAACCTTCTCAGGATCTTCCTGCTCATCATGGTCATCCTCATCCTCATCTCCTCGATTCAGAGACAGATCTTCAGCACCTCTGCCTACACTCTCATTCTTGCCAGAGTCATAGCTTGAATAGCTATGTGCAGGGGACTGAAAATAGACAAAAAGAATATGTTTGTAAAAAATCACCACGGAAATAAGGTCTACTCAGCAAAAATGCTTTATAAATACTTAAAGAATTCCATGATTTCTTTTTATTCTGTGTTCAACATAAAGTGCTCATAATTCTTGTAAGAGCAAACAATTCACAATACACCTCATTTCAATACTTTTAAAAAAGTGACCAGCTGCAAATTCAGTAAATCAATTAACAAATTCATTACCTATGATAATTACAGTTAACATGAGAACTTTGCCATATAGCCTTGTTTAAGTGCTACATACAGAAGTTTCTTACAAATACCAACTTCTTTGTATTAGCCAAGATGTAAATAAGGGGCAGTTGATTTGCACAAAACTCTAAAGGATTTAAAATTACACATTTTAGGGCAAAGAGGATTTAAGTAGGAAACACTGATATTCATCCAATCAATATCAAATATTATCAAAAGCTGCAATAAGTTATTCAAAACATGGAGATGATTATGTTCTAGTTTCACTTGCAAAACCCCAGAATGAATTAGAGATGTGTAGGTTTGTTGACATTTTGAATGCTCTTCTGAGAATCATATAGTAAAACCATTTTCTCTTTGCATATCAGTATTCAGAGCTTTCCCCTGAGCAGAAATTCAGCTTGCTGGATAAAACAGATGACCATCTCATTAAAGTGTATCCACTTGTAGGACCAAAAAGTTTTCAGTTACTGAAAGTCAATACTGTGCATTTTTCCTTGCGTTATCAAAACTTCAGTTACCTGTTTCCTCTGCACACACTTCAAACTGCAGATCACAAAAAGATATCAGTAATAAAAAGCCTTCTACAACTTAACACTTTAACATCAAAGTTTTCCCCCAGTCTCACAAAAGTGTCAGAGAGTATCTTCACCAGAGCCGTCAGATTCATGTTTAGGTAGTTCAGAGCACAATTTTACTTCTATAATATTTTAATCCTGTAATATTTCAGCATTTTCCTCTCTTGCTTCAAAGCATAATGTAGTCTAGTAACTTCAGAGAGTCCTGAATCAGGTGCTACACGATGAATTTCACATACGCGCTTTTTTACGGTGCCTCCTGCCTAAATGTCACCAAAAGTCAGGAGCATAATGCCTTAATCAAAAATACATTTTAAATACTTAAAATCACATGCCTTGATCTACATTCTGAGCTTCCTAAAATTGTCTTTATTTCAGGGTGTTTTCACCAATCACAGAATGAAGCTGGGCAGTGAGGTAGGAGGGAAAGGCCAACAAAACCATTAATCTTTAAGGTATACCTCTTGCTTTATATTCTTACTCCAACTTCTTTTTTTGTTCCCCGTTTTCATTCCTATCTGACATTGGTCCTCTGTACACCATCAGTTTTGGAGTCACTCCCACACATTTCCTTGCCTTGCCTTAACAGCACTCATACACCAAGCCTTCCTCTTTTATCTATCCTCGCCAGACTATATTCTCACAGTACAGATCCCCTGGAGTTCCACTTTTTAATCCCTAATGCTCCTAACATCGAGACCTTGCAGCCTCTCTCATCCCCTTCCTTGAGTCTCTTCACTCTCTAGACCACTCTCCATTCCCTAGACCCTTAAAGCAGACATAGGGAGAATAAGAAAACATCAAAAGAAAACAGAAGAGCCAGCCTCTGGATATGAAGACCTTCAACAAATAGCAAGCTCAGCAGCACTTCTTCTCTTCCTACAGCCTATGACTGCACAGTTACGAGGCAAGAAATTAGCCAGGGTTCAGGATGGCAGACGTGAGATGGCATGGGAAGATAAGACTTGGGAGAGCAGCAAAAAAACCTTTTCCTTTTCTTGACACACTGATATTTTGTTCTGGGAAGATGATGAATATGTACATTGCTGCCCATTCAGAGAACTCGTCCTTGCAGGAGGTGTTGAATCCATTGAATTATGAGGCTCCAGAAGAATATGGTTCCATCCTGATAGAAGATGATGGCTATAACTTATCAGTGTGTCTAGCATATATAAGCAACACTATTTAACCTGACCAATGGCTACCAGGTGGCCAACAGCTGCAGCCTGGTAGTCTGTTATGAAGGAATAAGAGAAGTGATTTTCCTTGATCCTGAAGATATTCCCAGAAGAAAATTTTAAAAAAAAAAAGTTACGATTAATTAATTATTACAATTATTGTAATTGTGTCCAAGTGGTAGGCAGCAGAAGATCTGACCTAGACTGCAAGACTTGTTCTTTTGTACTTCTTCGCTTCACCTCGTACTACAGCTATACAGCATGCAGAGGGCCTCTAGATAATCAAAAAGCCATTTCATGTGCTAGGCGCCATATAAAGCTGTAGAAGCTACTGCCCTGAAGAACCCTACTGTCTGAAACCCTTGTCCTGCAAACACTTGATTTCACATGAGTCACTTCATCAGACTAAATCCAATTAGACTACTCATGTGCATAAAGTTAAACAGATGCAAAACTGATTTCAGCATGTACATATGTTTGGGCTGGGTGCCAAGATCATAAATTATGCACCAGGATTGAGATTTGCTTTTGTGAAGGAAAGAAATTCAGGCCAAAATGGATTAGGTATGTCTCTCAAAAATGCAATAGTAATTTTTTTTTTAAAAGAAAGCATTGCATAGAGAGCCTTGTCCATTCTCTTCTCCAAAATATTTGTTTCAAGAACAACTTTAGCATCTTAACTGAACCGTGGAGAATAACATACTCTGAGAAATTTGCATGGCAGGAATCCACATTTACTCATTGTGGATTTGAAGACTGTCCAGTACCAGGTTTTTTTCCTAGCTGTTGCCTCAGCAAACTGAGGGAAGAGGTGACAAAAGCTCAGTTAAGAATAAAATTTCTATCTTTTTGTATTTCTACACAGATGAATATTGAGTCAGAGAGTGAACAGACTGTTTCTCTCACTTGTGTTGACGCTGCAGTCGTGCAAAAGCTGATAAGCATTCTTCTTTGGTACTCTATTAAGCAGCTGCAGTGCTAAACAAACATGGAGTAGGACAGCAGAGGACACCTTTTCCTTAGTAAACGTTCCTCAATTTTAGGTCTTGCACTGTCTTTTCAAAAGGCTGCTCCCACCTTTGCCAGACAGGAATCTGCTCATTCAGATTCCTGTACACCCCTTGACACATAAATTTTTATGGTCCTGCAGTGAACTAGACTGGAAAAGTGATCCTGGTTAAAATGTTTTGGGTTTGTTTTTTTTTTTTTCTTTTGCCAGTCTGTTTAAGACCAAGATCACACACAAGACACAAGATGTTTCACAGATGAAACCTTTGTGCTTAAGAAATGTGGGTTGGAAAAGAAAGTGACAGCAATGTAAAATGAGAAATTATTCAAGGAGAACAAATGAGGCCAAGGCTAAGGCCAAGAGTATTGCCTCCCCCAAACATTTAGATAATTATAAAGCTGTCTTAAAAATACTGAGATGTTGATAGATATATTCTGGCCACTTTGTCCTTGCCTTTTTCTGAAGGTTCCGAGTTCATTATTTTAATCTCTTCCTTGCAATAATAAGTATTAGATGCTTCTGCTTTATAAAAATGAAAGTAAAGCTTCTTGCCTAACAACCTGCTTTCAGGAGCTTGTGACATGAAATACCAACAACTTTCCAATACGTTACAAGTCAGCAAGAAAAGTCACCTGAAGTACGGTAAGTATCAAATCGTACAATAAAAGACCTGGGAGGACATCACAGTGTCACCTAGTTCATCTTGCTGCCACAGAACAAGGTCAGAAGGTCGTTCCTGACCACTGTTTGTCTAGTTGTTATCTTAAGACTTCCAGTGACAGAGATGCCATGCATCCCCCAGACTATCTGCATCAGTGTTTCATTGTCTTCAGAATTATTAAAATATTCTTAACACCCACGTCTGACTTTCATAAACAGTACTAAGCCTATTTCTTTTTCACCTATCTGCCACACATCGCATGGAGGACAAATGTACCTGGAGAAGAGAGCATTCTCTTCCCTCTTTACAAGAATCTTTCAGACATTTGAAGACTGTTATCATGTCCCCTCCCCTCAGTCTTCTCTTCCCAATAAACTCATTCATGCTATGAAACTCATGTTTTCCAGATCTGTAATCATTCTTACTGGTCTGCTCTGGATGTTCTTTATTTGGTCTGAAACTTTCCCAAAGAGCAACTCCCAAAACTCCAAAGTGTATTCCATTTGAGGCCTTTCAATGGAAAATATATTCATTTATTGCTTGACCGATTTCTAATATGCTTACAGCAGAAAGAGGCTATCATTTTATTTGCAAGATAAAAGAATACCCCATACAGGCAAACGACAGTAATGCAGAAACCCCACAGTTACCAACAGAAATCATGCTGTTATTTTGTGAGAAATAAAGCAGAAGTAATCCAGAACATTAATAAATATAAAGTCTACCATAGTGCCCCAATGCCTGGTAGGCTCAGACAGCAGCGTATGGCCATCAGACATGGTTTGAAGGATGATGCCACGTTAACTCACTGCAGGAGGCTTCTCCCAGCAACTGATGGCAAAAGACTCTTGGCTATCTCTGTGAGTGTACAAAGAAGGCTGTTGATTACTGAACCAGAAGTTATTCAGTGACAGAAAGTTAATTACTGAGACTGGTTATTTGTAATGACCAAAAATTGGAAAAATCATGGCTTTGTGATTTTTTAAAAAATGCCAAAAGGGAGCAAAAGACCCCACCTTTTCAGGGAAAAAAGCCTCTGAAGGAAGTGTAGTAAATGTTTCGTTTTTTTTTTTTTTTAAAATGAAGCTTCATTTTTCACATTTACATTTTACATTTACATTTAGTTGGATAGCGTGTAATTCTTTCAGTTGTTACATTAGACACTCATAAACCAGAGCACTCCTGTGAGCTGAAGAGATTTGAAGAGCTGGCAAGACAGTAGCACAGGTCTCCATACTGCACAGAAAGGAAAGGAGTTGTGAGGTAGGCAGAGATGAAAACACTCTACTGGCTATACATGATTCTATTCTAGAAATCTGCCTCCACATCTAT